TTTGTAAAGTCGTTTTTCACAAAAATACTAAATCGATTAATTTAAAAGTTGAAAACTATTAGGTATGTCTGCTGATAGGAAACGTGGACACTTGGCGTAGGGGAAAGAAAATGTAGTCGAGATGTCGTGGATGACGAAAATACTGTGTATAAAAACGGTCAGAAATGAGAAAGTAATAGAATGAGTAGGACAAAAAGCGCTTTGGAAGTCAATAAAAGGATAAGGGGAGATAGGATGATAGGATACCTTCTAAGTCATGAAGAGTGAGTGAGTTAGAGACATATTAGAAGCAGAAACGGGAGCAAAGAGCGTCAGAACGAGGATTAAATTACTGTTCAAACAGTTAGACATGTGAGATGTTCCCGTTTTAGAGAAATGCAAGGACTGGATACGAAGAAAGCCTTCGAATTTATGTTGATGATGATGGATGCTGATGATAATGAAGATAATAATGTGATTATGATTATGATTATATTGATAAAATGTAGGTACTAGATATATTACATAATATTTTCGTAATTTGCTACCTGCAGGTCCTTATAATCTGCTGCTAGATTTTGTAACAGGAATAGGCAAAAAAAAATTGAAAAGGATGCACATATGCAACGTATTAAAACCAACACTCCAAAACATTTCATATGAAAACAGTGAACTGCTATGATTAAACACTATAAATCACTCAAGAAATTGTACGGTTTTTCGTTCCTTCAGAGCGAATTTGATAGGTTACTTATATCTATCCAATTTTCTCATAATGTTACTTACTCTTCGAACCTGCCTCGACAGATACTTTGCGGAAATAACATTTCCACCGCACTCTCTCGTTTAAAGGAATAAAACACGATGTACTGAAGGGTGCTTTTCCCAACATAATTTTAAATTCGTTTATTTTTTTAACTCTTTTATTTTAATTCAGGAGATAGAGGTTTAGTCAATAATTGTGATTAAAGGCAAAAAACTGAATTGAAATCCTATGGAATAATGGAGAAGTAATTTTATCAGTAACTAGCTTTTCCCCGCGGCTTCGCTCGCAGAAATTAATATTGCTTCTCCATAAAACCTTTTAACTCCCAATTCACCCTTACACATTTTAATTTTATGTAATATCGCCATCTTAGATTTCAAATACAAACGTAGCAACAACATTTCATCCTTAAGGGTTGATTTTTTAAAACTGTCGAAACACGTATTTACTTAATTTCAACAATGAACAACCTTAATATATAAAATGAATATATGAATATAATATGAAAATATACCCCATGGAAACGTTGCAACCTCTTTTCATTTGATTAATAATATCAAACAGCATATATACCAAGTTTCAAGTAAATTCAATCACAAATAAAGTATGTCCCAAACAAAAATTGCAACACCTTTTTACTCCTCCCCCCCTTTGGAGGTTGAATTTTTTAAGATGTCGAGATAGGTCTTTCAGAAATTAAATGAGATACCATTAGGACCAAGTTTCAAGTAAATCTGACGACAAATAATATAATATGTTCCATTTAGTCATTGCAACTCCTCTTCACCAACCCCCCCCACACGGGAACGCGATAAAAAGTATCCTATGTCCGTCTCCTGGTTGTAAGCTACCTCCCCACCAATGATCTTGGTGTGTCATGTATAATCACAAGGGATAACAAGCGAATGAGGTAGATATCCTGAATATATTATGAGCATGGGCAGAGAGAAAGAGAGGAACATGTCACTTATGCTTTTACAAAAAAAAGTTTCCAACATTTATATAAGCGACCAGGTAACGTCTAGAATAGCGTTTATGGACCCTCAGGAATTCGAGGTACAGTTTCGGGAGACGATAGGCGAGAAACAAGAGACGAAAATGTTATTTTCGATAAATTAAATATAATGTGTAATTCCTAATAATAAAGGATAGGTATAAGAAAAAGTGTTTCAGTTTATATTTAACGATTATGAAATCGGAAAAAAAACATTTTTAAATGTGCCAGATGATCACTTGACATCTGTATGTATATTTCCTATCCTTTTTAGTATTTATTCTATGTCATTTGAAAGTTACTATGTCATGTGCATGTCGGAATTTAAATAAAGTGAACACATATAATTTCCCGCTTTAACTAATTAAATAAAGGCAAATTGGTCGAATTTCGGTCACACGCAGTAGTGGTAATTAGTGCAGTGCAACATTACTAAAAGAAATTGATTGATAAATAATCATAAAGTAATAGATGTGGATAGGTACCTATTAACATTTATTTTATAAAAACTTTAAAACTGTAGATTTATTATTATTACCTTAAAGGTTTTACGTTAAAGTGCGTGAATGATCTCGGAACGATTCTTGAACCTGAAAGATGGTAATACTTACTCATATTTGAATTCTTTTTACTTACATGCATACCTATGCATAAAAACTTCAGAGAACAGATGTTTTAACATCGTTTGCGAAAAATCTCTGGTCTGTTTTTCTTTACAAAACGAATATTATAACTTTCTCGTATAGTTTCGACTCTAATTATTACTTGAAAAAATGAATACATACTGAAAAAGCTTCAAGTATTCAAGATGGAGACTCGTTAGTTCCAGAACGAGGTTCTCCCTATTCTGCAAATTTTTTACCATTAATGTAGACACGCAAAAACTGTTTTCTTTTTTGAACGAATTAAGTATCTATTTTCGTAGCAATCAACAGACGCATCTAGTGAATTTCTTCTTCAGCCCTACTTAGGTAAATTTAAATTGATTATTCACTTTAGAATAAGAGAGAATTTTAATGTCATAATTTATGGTACATTTTAGCTACATCAAATGTTATACATTATAAATACCTTCTTTTCCAGGGATAATCAGTATGTTAAGATTTTATCGTTCGTACCTGCGGTACTAACCCCTTAATATCAAGAGAGTACCATCATAAATACCTTAGCAGTGACACAGCTCATCATGACATTAAACATTAAACAATTAGTTTTTTAAATACATTTAGATTATCAATAACACAAGACCAATTCAAACTACCAAACAAGCAACAAGCATGTTTTTAAGTAGCAAGTAATATTAGTTTTAGTAGATTAATGTGTACGTATTATAGGATTATTAAACGCGATATATAGTAAGGATCTTTCTAATCGACATACACTGGTCCTTCGAGGTTCATATTTTGTGTGATCAATTATTGATCTATGTGGTACAGCAGTACACCGACGAACACAACAAAGAATTTTCGTTAAGCGAGCCAAGCTCCCCAACACAGTATTTTTAAGACGGTCCTGTTTTGCAATAGGTAAAACTATTATAAACGGTTCAAAATTTGTTAAAGAGGATGAAACTGAGTCGACTTAAGTAAAAGGTTTATCCTGATATTCTTATTTTGCCATGTAAGCGGGTGATACTGGAATAAGCTGATTATTAAAACGTCTATTAATTAAAACGAAACTAATAAAATAGACCACTTACGGTTTTCAAGAAGTTATCGTTTAATCGGAATTTTTAATTAATGATCGCTAATTTTGAGGTGTAATTAAACAATTGCAAAACAGTGAGCTGTGCAGAGAACGGTAACATTCCATCTAATAATTGCATTATTAATAATCTCGTGGTCCATCCAGCTAAATATCTAATTTACTATAGGTACTTGTCAGCTAAATAATTAATGAGTATGTATATATAATTTCTAGTGAGATTTTTTAAATTTTTTGCTGAGGATCACGACCCGTTAAACCCCACTCCCGCATATATGCCTCTCTGTCGACTTACTGATTGATCAAGGAGAAATTCCATCTTAAGAAGCCTATGGCATAAGTAAATGAAAAAGTTCCAAAATCTATAATCTCTATAAATTCTATACAGAATTATAAACCGGCACACTTGATTTCTTTGTCTTTGACATTCAATGTGATAATATTGATTCCTTCTTCAATCAACGCAAACAACTTTTTCACAATTTTCTGCAAAAATATCTTTTTTCCCACTTGTATGTGTATGATCTCCAGCTACAGGGAAGAAATGTATTGTGGATTTGACCTTCTGACATAATAATAATACAATGAGAAATTGCTACTATCCTTTGCCATAATTAAAATTCATAAATATGCACGAGAAAATAAAGAACATTCACAGAAAACTACGAAAACAGTTTTGACATTAAAATTGTATTTCAATTAAAAAGTCGCGATAGGTAGGTAATTTTTATATTTTGATATTAGTGGAAATATTATATATATTTTTAATTCCTTTTAACTAAATAAATCGTACTTCTAATTCCATTTTTATTCAAATAGTTAAGCCGATTTTTATCGTCTCTTTAATCGATAATTACAAAGAAACTAAAAAACTGTAAATTCTACGTTGAGAAATATACGCACAGCATTTAATTTAAGATTTTTCAATAATTTCACAATTTACAGAGTTATAATTTAATCCAAAGTAGACGCTTCTACCGTCTTCGTAGTAAATCTGTCTGAGCATCTTAATAGATTACAACGGGTTCGCATTATCCAGTTTTAAATTCCGGTGGTTTTAATTAATAATTTATGAAGAGAAGCAATCTCAAGTAAAGGGAAGCTCGTTAATAGCACTCTCCTAATAATAAAGAAATACGATACACGCATTACTGTAAATAAAATGATATCCAAGAAAATTGCTTATTACCATAATACTTAAGAAAGGTTAGAAAGTGAAAATGATATTTACATCATTCTCTGCATAATTAACTTTTCTTGTTTCGATAAATAGTATAAGTAATTTGATTTTAAAGAAAATTTCATTGAATTATGCGTATGTATATGTATACAATTCTTAACAATTATCTAAATTGTTCTTGACACTTACCATCGCTTTCTGATTTTATTTTAAAACAAATCGAATTCAAGAAAAATCGAATAGAAAAATTTTTATAAAGCGCAATCTCGAATATTTAATTCTATTACTATATCCTTAATTCAAAATATTTATTGAGTTATACTTGATTTGGTTTGCGTATTGCAAATGAGCTAATTTTACTTTTCTTCCCGTTTTAGTTAAGTGAAGAAGTGGGTTACGTTTTATATTCGGCGCTGGGCTCCTTCTACATTCCATCGTGCATTATGGTCTTCGTATACATTCGCATCTATTATGCAGCGAAGGCGCGAGCTCGTCGCGGGATCAAGAAGCCGCCGCGACGCCCGCCCAACCCACAGGACCAAGTAACCAGTTTTACGACAACCCCGGAAGTTTCGAAAAACGGAAATGGCAATGGCGTCGAAATCAATTCGCCCGTTGACAAGAACAGCAACACGTCGCCTAGGGAGGGATCGCAACGTCAAATTGCAACCATCGAATCCCATCGACAGCCTTTGGTCATACCGACAGTAACATGTGATCTCGCATCCGATATTTCGACTAGCGACGCCAACGACAACCAAGATGGATGCGAAGAAAAGGATACCTTAAAAGTAAGCATTATTGATGCGAAATCGCATGTTATGTTCAAAAAAGGGAGGGGGGTAGTTGCTGGGCAGTAAAACAGCATTCGGTTTGATTCCCGCAGATATGTTAGTTTGCTTTTTGAAGTGAAACTTTTATATAGGCGCGGTACCTATTACGATTTTTTCTGTCACGAAAATGCGTAACGGCCGCGTGGAGGGGGTAGACGGTATGTGGCGTGGCGAGAGGAAGCGGAGGAAGAGAAAGGCTGGCAGCGGCGAAGAGAAGGCAACGGCTGTATCAGATGGATATAATGCGCAGACGCGCGCAGAGCGGGGGAGTCCGCAAGAGTCCCGCCGGCGCGTGCTGTGCTCAGCTGTTGTTTTCTTACCTCTGCTCTCCACGTGGCTGTTTGCGGTCTGTGTAAAAACAAAATCATAATTTGGAGTAAACTTGTGAAAACGAAATGTGTGCTGTAATACATAGTAGAAGTGAAACTTCAACGGACAAGTGGAAAAACGAATGACAAAGCATCGCAACAAAATTTTTACTTCAAATTTTACGGGCAGATTGTTAATGAACTTGTCCAATTTGAAAACAGGATAAAATTTTTACTTGAAGTTTTACGGGCAGGTTTTCACTTCTACTATATGTCCCAGCACACGTTTCGTTTTTTATTTACACGCACTTTTTAACATATAACAAAAATGGTAACCGAAGACACCTTTTTTGATTAGGTTTTGTGTTTAAACGTGTTCGCTTATTTGTCTATAGGTTTTTTTCACTACGATTCGTAAACATATACTTTTTATGCACAAAGCTGAATTCCTTAAAAATACATGCGTTATCCTGTACACGCGCAGTAAAAAAAACAAACAAACAACTTTTGACGACTAATGATATAGCATAGCATAGTTTTAGGTTTATCCTTCTCTACGCGCTGTTAGGTAGCAATTGTTCACATTTATGAGGGTTTTGTCTTTCCAGAAGGAACAGTTAGTAAAATTCTATTATTCTATTTTACAACATGGATGGTATTTTAGCTATCTACAACTTAAAGGCGATTTGGATTTAGAGGAATGTAACAAAAAGCGTTCTTTTGAAACATAAAAAAAAAGGAATGTTGGAATTACTTGACAGCACCATACGCCGCTATTGTTCAGTAGAATTCATTCTGCAAAGCCTTTTCTCATCCGAGATTTTTCGGTCGGGAAACATTCACTTCCGTTTGTAAAAGATTGATAGTGTCTCTTCGTGACCTTGTTTACCAAATGGAACTGTGCATGTCATATTGATTTTGAAATTGTATGTCACAGGTAGAATAACCTGCCATACTCTAGTTTTCACAGGAAACATTATTGCGCACCCAAGAAAATGAAAAATTTATATTTATGTATATACATTGAGGGTTTTGAATTTTCAGTCTATTTTTAATCAGTCGTGGTTTCTACCATTTTGGAGTTTAGGTGCCTACCCACCAATATATGTAGATAGAATTTAATCACTATTAGAAATAGTAACAACCCAGTTGATTTTTTCTGAATAGAGGTGAATATTAATATGAAAATTCATATGAATATTGGAAATTAAAGTATTACAAAACGATGTTTCACCAACAGATGCTTACCTTTGGTTGAACAATAACAATATCTATGATTGTTTTAAAAATATTAATAATAATTTCCGTCGGAAAGATCACCTAGATGTAATGCAATTTCAATCATGATTCAATTTTATTATTTAATGTTTTTGCTTGATAATATAATAATTATTTTATTGTTAATTAAAATTATAACGATACCATGCAGCGATACAATTCATACTCCTTTCTAACAAAACTTATACGAGAAGAAAACGAAAAGCATCCTATATCTATGCTGTTTGCCTCTTTATTTTTCTTGAATAGAGTCATAAAATCTGGTACTTTAGGATAGTGTAGCCAAGTTTTTATTTGCACTAGTTTCGCGGGTGGTCAAAATTTGAGCACCTTGTTTTCAAATTTTTCGATCTGCTAACAGTTTCGACATTCACGCGTTGATTATCATAAGGTTGTCAGTCCTAAGATTAGTTGGACACGCACCTCCACTTTTTCCTATCATGAGCTAATCTTCGCATTTCCCTAAAACTAGGTGAACCAGTAAGCTAATTTTCGTCTACCTCTACGCCTCTTAACTACTGTTATTGTTTCTAATACGAGGGTGGATTGATAAGTTTCCGGCCTAACCAAGAGATGACGCCACTAGGCCTACCTTGAGGTGACATTCTATAGTACCATCCTTGGATAGCTTGTAGCTATAGTTTCAGCCCGATCTCCTTGCTAGTGTAGGTTTGACAGCACGCTGAACAAGACGCCTCTGTGGTTTTCGTAAAAATGGAAAAGCAGGAAAATCGTGCTGTCATCAAATACTTTTATTTGAAGGGGTTAACGCCGAAGGAAATTAAAAAAGAGATGGACTCAACACTGGGGACATCCTCCCCGTCATATTCAACCGTTAAGCAGTGGGTTTCCGAGTTTAAAAAGGGTCGTGTGAGCACCTCTGATGGGCCTCGCTCAGGACGCCCCGTTGAGGTCACAACTCCAGATATGATCGAAAAAATTCATCAAATAGTGCTGGGAGACCGCAGATTGAAAGTGCGTGAGATAGCTGAGACCTGTAAGATGTCATATGAACGTGTGCAACATATTTTGCACCAACATTTGCATATGGAAAAGCTCTGTGCAAGATGGGTGCCGCGTTTGCTAACAGTCGACCAAAAATTGATTCGAAAAAACATTTCTACCGCAAATTTGTCATTGTATAAGCGTAATCCAAGCGAATTTTTGCGTCGATTCGTAACCGTTGACGAAACGTGGGTCCACCACTACACTCCTGAAACCAAAGAACAGTCTAAACAGTGGATTGGACCAGGGGAACCAACTCCAAAGAAGGCAAAAACAATTTTTTCGGCGAACAAGGTTATGGCTACTGTTTTTTGGGATGCAAGAGGTATTATATACATTGATTACCTTGCAAAGGGTAATACTATCACTGGTCAATACTACGCAGACTTATTGCAACGTTTGAGCCACGAGGTGAAAATTAAACGACCTCATCTGGCGAAGAAAAAAATCTTGTTTCATCACGATAACGCACCAGCGCACACGTCAATCGTTGCGACGGCTAAAATCAACGATCTAAAGTTTGAATTGATGCCGCACCCTCCTTACTCTCCAGACCTAGCCCCGAGTGACTATTTTCTGTTCCCTAATCTCAAAAAATGGCTTGGCGGTAAGAGATTTGCGGACAATGAAGAAGTAATCGAAGCTGTAAATGGTTATTTTGAGGAGCTTGACGAATCAGTCTATAGAGATGGCATTAATAGACTGGAACACCGCTATGAGAAATGTATCAGCCTTGGAGGAGATTATGTTGAGAAATAAAAAAAAAAAATTTTTAAAAACCTTGTTTTTCTTGGTCAGGCCGGAAACTTATCAATCCACCCTCGTATGTCTTTGACTAGCCCTTCATGCCTGAGAAGGTCTCCTACCAACCTATCTCGCTTTTGACCTCCATAGAGTCCTCTGTTCTCCTATTCTTTCTAATACCTCTTTATTTTTAACCTTCTCTATCCACGGTATCCTCATCATTCGCATTTCGAACGCTTCTAACCTTTTCTTTTCCTCCGCGCCCACTGTCCATATTTCGCATCCGTACGTCACCTCACTCCAGACATACACCTTTAACAATTGTTGTTGAGGACAATGATTTAAAACAAGGAAATGAAAATGTTTTTAAAAGTAAGTAAAGTCTTTTTTGTCTTTCGTAGGTCTACGCGACGGCTCAAGTAATCCGAAATCCAATTGCCCAGTGCCAGTTCCGTGGATCCACTCTTTCTGTGAACGGTGAGCTCCAGCGTCAAGCGGCAGCCATGGCGAGAGCTCGCCAGCCATCGATGGGTATCGATACGGACATGGTAAGCGAGTTCGATCCTAGTAGTTCGGACTCGGGAGTTGTTTCACGGTGTGCTGTTGTCAAACCTCTCAAAATGCGTTTCTGCCAGCCGATCTTTGGTAGGCGTATTATTAAAGGACTCAAATCGGAATCGGAAGGTGGACACGTTAGTGACAAAGTTGAACAGTTGGTGCCGCGTGTTCAAAAACCTCGAGATCCCGAACGTGAAAAGAGAAGAATCGCGAGAAAGAAGGAGAAACGAGCAACACTAATTTTAGGGTTAATTATGGGTTCGTTTATTGCATGCTGGTTACCGTTTTTCTTTCTCTATATACTACGTTTAGCTTACGATATACCACCGATCGCGTTTTCGACAGCGTTCTGGCTCGGATACATGAACTCCGCACTGAATCCAGCTATCTATACAATTTTCAATAAAGATTTCCGAAGAGCATTCAGACGAATACTGTTCAAGTGATGTTTAGCATACGTGTGCTGCTACGAGTGCGTCAGTCGAAGAATTCGGACTGCTCAGTTTCGTAGTGCACCCAGTGCTCTTTATAGGAAGTAAATTTTTAAAGACGTTGCTAGTGTCGACAATCTCATTCGCGTGCACTCAAAATATGTTACGACAGTGGATATGCAATTTACAAACAAATTTATTAAAAAAAAGAACGTGTTGTAAAGTAACTTCTTTTAACCCTCATAATCCAGCATACATACTACTTGCGACTAATTTGGATACAATTTTTGTTGGTGAATACAAGATTCTAAAAGCGACGTTTTAATTGAAAGAAGAAACGAAACGTCTAATATTTTTAAACTTACAGAACAATTAATTCTACGTGTTTCAAAAGAAAATGGCAGATTGGCTCGTAGGACGTACAAAATTAAATTTCCTTCGGTCTCTTCTTCATTCACATTTCAAAGAAAGTATTTTCGCAATAGGCTGCGCTACGTTCTACAAATTTTTTTGTTTCGAGCAAAAACAACACAATAGAATTGTCCTTTTTATCTCGTAACAGTATTGTTCATGAGCTTTAGATGTAAAAAAAATATTTCGTGCAATCTTATTACAAACATCTATTATTAATATTTAAGTCGAAATTAACGAGGAATTTTCGAATTTCATACATTACCAGCTTGTCACTTTTCAGTAATAAATATTAAAATATTTTATTCGATCTCTATCCGCTTAATATTTTGAGTGCATATGTAGATGTTTTATATAAATTTCCAAATAAACTTCCATTATAAAGATCGACTAAATCTGTTGTGTCCACAGAAAATGCTTCGAGTCTGTTGGATGCTTATTTTCAACGTGAATTTCATCGGACCATATAAGCACATTATATCCAGCAGCTACACAAACAACACTATGAATATCGTGAATAAAAAGTATGGTATGGGAAAGCTGATGAAGTTTTCTCGCGTTTTTATCTACTTCATATATAAATAAAACATTCTTTTTATGATATTCATGTTAAGAGTCATTACGCAATTTCTAATGATTTAAATTTTGGTCTAATACGGGAAATGCCAGCTACTTGCAATAAACACTTTTGAAATTTATTATGTTAAACCAAACGCATTAAAACTTTTCAAAAATTGTATAAAAATAGCCCTAATAATTGTTTTGAACGAATAATCCCTTTTCAAGACTACTAAATTATACTCTGAGGAAGGACTAGTGGTCCATCCTTGAAACATTTTAATGTGTTTCATTTAATTTAATTTAATTTTACTGTAATTTACATTTATTAACAAAATGTTGGTGTAAGCATCTAGTAGTAGAGGTAGTTTAGAATCTTGTGGGCTTTGTCCTTGGGCTGTGCAGTGATAAAACCCTGTGTTTGTTGATTTCTACTTTTCACTAAAGTCATTGGCCGTCTAACCCTTACCTAACAATTTAACACCTATTTGGTATCGTAATTTCTACAAAAAAGATTTCGCACATTGTGAAGAACCAAAATATACTTTCTGAAAGCAATGGAAGCAAATTTTTAAGATAAGCAGTCTTCTCTTATTTTCTTACATCATTAGATTCTAGATAGGCTTAAAAATTAAAAACATAGTCTTCTTTTTTGTCTCTCAGGCCCCTCACTCTCGTTTTACTTACAATTACGTAGTGAATATTAAATCTCATAGTTTGATGATTTAAATTAGCTAGGATAACGTAATGGATTAAAATTTCTTAACCTATATTGACCTTTCTGTTGGAAAAATATTGAGTAGTTATTTACGTTTTATAAAGTAAAAGCGAATTTCTGAGAAACTCGATATGTAAGTACACATGTATGTATGTAAAGCGTAGACAAATGTATAAAGTGAATCAAACGAAAAGAAGAGAGAATTTAGAAGACATTTCTCACAAAAAATTCTGTCATCGCAATGAAAAGGTGTTTGTGTAGCTGCTAAAACATTCGTAATAAAAATAAGAGAGAGTTTTTTGTTTGGAAATGGTTCCGATGAATTGTCACATTATTTGTAACGTTTAAAGGAATTTTGGAGCAATGACTACCACTGTGATAAATGACGCTTTCATTCTGAATTTTATCTTACACTGTTTTATTTGTAAAAAGATCCTACTGTAAATGTTTTAAATATCTAAATAATATTAATGTTTAGGATTCATCCATTTCGTAAATGCTAGTTAAGTGTTCGTTATATGTGAATAAAGAGGTTAATATACTACAAAATTACAATATAACATAGATAGACACCAATTTATTACTTAACTTAACGTCAACGGCAGCTTTTGCTGTCTCTGTACAAAATACTTCGCTCTCGACCATTTGTGATGCCTACATTCGTTGAAAACTCACGTAAAGTACACACACAAAAAAAAAAATTAATTACAGCGATAATTCCGCTGAGACTCCTATGATGTAGTTTTTTATCGTATTACAGAAGAAAGTTTTAATTTAATTAAAGCCTCCTATGGTGAACATGATGGGAGTGTATGAGTTATTCATTTTAACTTTTCGGCTTCTCTGTTATCACAATTCAAGGGACCCTTATTACTCAAATTTTTATCTCAGTTCCGCGTCAAGAATATGCGGAAAATCATGTCTATAATTTCATTAGCCCTAATTAATGTTCTTAGATTATACAAAATAGAATTTGTGACGTCAACCGTTTCCTTACAATCAACTTATAAAACATTTTAGCTACATCAAATGTTATACATTATAAATACCTTCTTTTCCAGGGATAATCAGTATGTTAAGATTTTATCGTTCGTACCTGCGGTACTAACCCCTTAATATCAAGAGAGTACCACAATTAAATACCTTNACTCAAATTTTTATCTCAGTTCCGCGTCAAGAATATGCGGAAAATCATGTCTATAATTTCATTAGCCCTAATTAATGTTCTTAGATTATACAAAATAGAATTTGTGACGTCAACCGTTTCCTTACAATCAACTTATAAACCAGTATAATTAAACATGCGGATCTTCATTTCAGCCGGAAATCCCTAAGTGCTGGTTTTTTACTTTAAATCGTTTACAAAACTGTTTTGAATAATATATATCGTTTCAAACAAAAACGGCCGGGTGAGTTCAAATAATTATTTATTAAACATTTTGCATCGGAAATCCGATTTTTGTTTAGTTTTCTTTAAATATAATAGAAACTGTCAATACTAGAGGAAAATGACCTAGTAGAAAGTTATAGTTTATTTTATTACCTACAAAATAAAAAAAAAATAGTTTCACCACGACCAATACTTAAGATGTAAATATCAAAAAATCAATAAAATCGGCATTTTTGTTTTATTGAAATAATTTTTGTTGAAAACAGACCAGACTATTCAAATTGCACAATAATACAATTTGAAATTCTGCAGTACTTCAAAAATAAAATAGTCCGCCAGATAGTTATTGAATAATTCAATTTGTAACTTAAAAAACCGGACAATTTCAATTTGTTATAAAAAGTTATTTACGGATTATACATGCTTGGATAATCATATATTTTAATATTCAATAGTACAAAATTATCATTTTTTTTATAAGAAAAGGTTATTTCGTCGACAGGGAAACCCTTCCCACAGATCAGAATTACGCACAGTACCGGATCGCCATGTTGCAAACTGAATTGTCTAATAACTACCTGGTGGATCATCTTTATTTTTGGAGTACTAGTTTTACAGGATCTAAACTATATTATTGTGCAATTTGTAACATCCTGGTGCATTTGCAACAAAAGTTAATTAAACAAAACAGAACTGCCGATTTTCATGTTTTTTTAAAGTTGCAACAACTTTTTCATTTTGTAGGTAACCACGTAAGCTATAACTTTTAAATAGGTCATTTTGCAGTATGATCAAAACTTTGTCCTTCATCTAATGAAAACGGAAAAATACGATTTCCGCTACTACAATTAAAATTAACAACGCACCCCGCCGATTTTGTTTCAAATGATATATATATCATTAAAACAATATTTTAAAGGATTTAAACAGGCATTTAGGAACTTCTGAACACGATTTGACAGCTCTACTGGTCTATTAGTATTTTGCCTTCTTAATTTCCTTAAATTCTTCCATTCATTAACGATGTTTCGTCTTACTTTCTTATTATCTTCAAAAATGCAATAAGGAATGTTTAAGGGTCCTGACAGAGTTTGATAACAGATCATTTATTTACGCCCACTTACAGGATGTTGCTTTAGGATTGCTTTTTTAAACCGTTTATTTGGTTTATCATGATGAACGTATAGCATCACAAATGCAACCTGAACTTACCCCTTGGCGGACCCTCGCCCAAACATTACGAAAATATGCGTCGTTGCCTTGGCGAGATGGTCTCCATAGGCAGTCTTCCATGAGCTCGCGGGGAAATCCCTTGATGTCCCGAAAACAAACATTTTAATACAGTTACTGCAACGAAATCATTGGTGCTATCGATCAATAGCGGACAGACGTACAACGGCAAAATAACAATATCGATTCAAGTACCTACATAAAAAATCTTTTCCGAAATACTTTTATATGTATCTACTTACTTTAATTTTTACAGAAGGATATTTCGCGAGAGGTTAAATATGTAATATTGAAAAATTTTAAGATATTATTATTCCATTGATATTACAGAGAAGGAGAAATTCAATTCTTTTTCTGTATTTACTTAATTTTTCGTACAATAAATTACTGATTCCACAGAAATATCTCACAATCAGTAATGGATTATTAACACAGAGTGACAAAGCAAATTGGCGCTAGTAGTCCATTGCAGTAATGTTTCAAAATTTTATTTCGCAAATCAATATTTTAGTGTAGTGTAAATATTAGTACTGCACGTTTTTCAGTAGATTGTCAAGAATTTTTGCTTCTCCCTAATTTCTTGACAACAAATCTTACTCCTACTAACATAAATTCTTCTGTTGCCTTATTCCTACAAACAAATTTCTTGTCTTATTGTTCTTGCAGTACATAAGAACAGTACGAGAATGAGAAGTTCGTGAAACACTGCTTTAGTGGATGCCTCAAGTTCACTCAAAGTAGTTTCATTCAATGTCTATATGCTCCTATTAAACCTCTCCGTTATAGACATCTTATTTGATTCGTCGATCCATACAATTAGATAAGATTAGATTTATTTTGATATTTGTTGTACGTCTGCCTGTTAAGCCCCGTGAAATGGATTTGGGAACCGTCAGAGCCCTTCGAGTTCCCATTTCCCTAAGCTCTGCATCACCCTTATAATAATAACTACTTTTAATTACTATAATTATAAAAATATTAATACTATCATCATCGTCATTTAAAAATTAGACTATCATCGCGTGTATATATACAAACATAAAATATCATTCGTATGTCATAAATGCTATGACCATTGTTAAATACCACCTAAAAGTTTATTCATTATTCTGATTATTACATGCGTGTTTACGTGTACTTGCGTGAATATTATATATAATTATAAATATATTTACTCCAAAGAACTTAAAATAAATAAATAAATGAAATCCTAAAATGCGTTTTATTTTCTGCGATATACCTACTACAATAAAATCATTTGGATTACTTTGAAAATAACATAAGGAGTAATTTATTAATAATTTTTGGTAGTATCTTTACTCAAAACTAAGAAAATATGTTCTTAGATAATACGAAAACTGTTGAAGCAGTTTAACCGATAAATTATCTATAAAACGGGTCATTATAGGTTTTGGAATTCAAAGTTCCTTCTCTGTATGAGAACATCTTCGACGATGCTAAAATAAATTATTAGTATTTTATTCTTTCTACCTCGCATTTCACATTAAAATTATAAACTGAAGTGAGTATATTACGTCAGTTGTATGACCCGAATTATCTGACCTTGGCAGGGTAAGTATCAGTATAAAATAGGAGAATGCTTCATTTTTAATTAATGGGTACTTAAGGGAACTTGTGAGGTAACAGAAAATACTCATTAATTGTAATTTAAATATATACAGTAATTCCTGTTTATCCGAATGGCGTTTATCCGAAATCCACTTTATCCGAAGCCAAATAAGGCGGATTTTTTCCGTAAGAACGCAAAATAAATGAGCTTTCTAACTCAGCATTTAAAAACTTTGAGTTCAAAAATATGCAGGCTTATTCACAACCACATTATACTTCATTTAGTTTCTCTAGCGATTAGCCCCTTCCAATGTCTTGGATGCGCGCTGGCAAAATCGTAGGTAGGGAGAAAAAAGCTCATTATACTCTCGACTCTTGTTCATTAAATATACTTTGTATACAGTACCTGCCACAAGTTTTGTTCAATCATGAATAGTAGTGCGAGTAGAAAACAAGCGTTAAAGCCTTTAATATGTCTTCAAATATAAATAAACATCTCGTTGATATTTTCAGTAGTAAATGGTACCAATAACAGTACATTTGAGCAATGCAATTGTAGTGAATAAAATGGTCAATTTTTCCGTGCAGTACTGTACGGATAATACGCTCCGCACTGGTTAAGAGTTTTGCCGAGAGTTGTCTCCTTTTTTTTCTGGCCTAGTGCTACTTTGCGCCGGTTAAACTGAAGGTCACATCGCTACAGAAACTAAACGAAGTATGATAGAATTCTACGTACGCATGTTTTACTATCATATTTCGTGGTATTGACGTAATTTAGGGGTTTCACGCGGGACTTCGGTTTATCTGAAATGGCTACCGTTCCAATTATTTCGGATAAATGAGAGTTTACTATATTCTTGAAATTCAGCGAGATAAAACAAACCGTACAAACAACCATTTTAAACAATCAAAATGAACTTTGAAATACCCCTTAAGCTGAGTAATGTCAAGTTGATTGTATGGACAATAATACAGATTAAACTTCGTGCGTTATAACTGAATGTAATACGTTATTGAATGCGAATTGCGCATTGATAAATGCACGTTCCCATATGCATTGTAATCATCTAAGCCTGTGTGTACAGACATTTACAGTAAATAATACTACCTTAAAATATTGATCTGAAAACGTATACGCAGTTTAGACGTTCAGAAATAAATTATAGTGCTCGTATATTAGAAAATAATTAGGGTAACATAGATAATTGATTCTCATGATAAAATACCAAATGACACAACTAAAAAGTAAAAATAAATTAGGTATTTACAGAGTTACAGTTACAGACGTCGTAGTTTTTAGAAGATGATGTCGTCTTTTCATTATTGTATAGGTAAAACTTCTAGGAATTTTAATATTGTTATGAACAAAAGCCACGGGTAATCGATACCAATGGCACCTTTGATGTACCTGGAAGCCGACAATCGCGGGTCACAAATCGTTCAACGGGCAAAATTAGCACTACTAAAGGAACATGGGGGAAGTTTTCGGAAATAATGAGGATAATAAAATATTACTCTGAAATTATAATGATAACAGATGCGGAAGAAAATCTATACGTGAATACCTTTGACACTTTTATTGACAGTGAAGCGTTCTTTTTGTTTGTCCTTGTGACACGTCCACTTTTATCAGCAATTATCTATTATTGCTGAAGTCGATGACCTAAAAACTCGAACTTAAAAGCATTACATTTAACGTATGTATGTATGTTTGTATGCGACTAATATAATAAAGTGGTAGAAAAGTACAGTCAATGCGATATAATTAGAAAAAGAACACAGACATTGCTTAGCAATT